TCAGCTGCTCCTGGTACGCGGGGGAATTTCTCGTTCATCGTGATCGTCAGCTTTCTTGGCTTCTTCGGGTCGAACGCCACCTCCCTGCCCTTGGCCTTCTTACGCATCTGCAGCGACTCGGCCGAGTTGACGCTCGACGCCGTGCTGGCAATGTACTTGCGCGCCGCCGTCAGCGAGGCGTCCGTCTCCGGCACCTCGGGGAACAGCTCGAGCTGGATCGACTGCGGCTTCTGAAGGATCTCCTGCCACACGGAATCCGCCCAGTGAGGCGCGATAACGGCGATCAGCAAGCACTGCAGCTCGATGAACCGGATCGCCAGGTCCACGTGCATCTTGGAGCTGGCCGTGCTCTCACGGTAGAACGAGAGTGCGTTGTTGAGGCTTGTCAAGTCAGCATTATCCAAGTCCGCAACATGCCTGTTGCATGATGGAATGGAGGGTTGACTCACTCGTAGAAACCAGCCTTGAGCGCCAGCTTGTAGGAAGTCTCCTCTGTGTCAATGTCAGCCGTTGCTATCCTCCATCGTAAAGACCGGACTACCACGTACTGTACTGCGCAATCGTCTCCTTGGCAAGCGCATTGAGGTCGTTGTTGAAAATCTCGTCGAAGTAGTTGTACTCGCCCGTGCGCAGCTCGCTCTTGTTCTTGACCGTCTCCTCGCACCAGTCTGTAAGTGTCAGCAATGCATCATCCTTTAAAGACGAGGCCGATCACATACCACGCGCCGTGTGCAGACGCAGAATTGCCTGGTTCGCAACGTCCTCCTCAAAGTTGCTGTCGCCCATCGTGTCACCGGCATCGGCGAGACCGATACGCGACGCGTCGGCGCCGTACTTCTTCGCCATGTCCTCGAGGGTCATGAAGTTGCCTGTCGACTTGCTCATCTTCTCGCCGTTCAGCAGGAGATGGCCGTTAGTGCGGATGGCGCGGGGCCAGTACTTCTTAGGGAAGATGGCAATGTGGATATACAGGAAAAAGGCTGCGCTGTTAGCTTACTCTCTTATCTGCGGGCACAATGATACTCACTGAGATGGTTGCCGATGAGATCCTTTCCGCTGGATCGCAGATCAAGAGGGTAGAAGTACTCGAAAGAGCGCTTCATCGTCTGCAGAGACTCCTTCGAAATACCCGACGCCTTGATGACCTCGTCGTCGAGCTCGCGGCGGCAGAAGATGGCGTCCCACACGTCATCGGTCATTTGGTCGGCCGAGACGTTGAGCGTTCCGGGCTCCTTGCCGTAGATATCCGCGTGGAGGAAGTGGCAGATGGTGTAGTAGGCCATGTAGATGGTGCTGTCGCTGAGCGACTCCACGACGAACTTGGGGTCGAACGGCAGCTTGGTGCCGAGGCCGTAACTCCTCGCGCACGCCCACTGGTTCAGCCAGTTCAGTACACCCTCGAACGCGTTCCTCGTCTCGTTGCCAAAGGTCTCGAGTCCCTTGCCGTCGGCGTTGGCAACCCACTCGAGCGCCTGGTCTCTCCAGGTAGGCTCACCGTAGTCGAGGTACCACTGGTCCATCAGGGCGACGATACACTCGTCGGCAGAACGACTGATGACCTTGCGCTCGGGCTCCGAGTAGACAAAGGCGAGTCCGCCGTCGATGAGCTGCTTTCGCACCTTGGGCTTGGCGGTCTCCACAGCCTCGCCCTTGTAGTCACCCACCTTCATGGTGCCCTTGTAAAAGCTGCGCCTGTTAGTCCATGTCGATACGCAGCCGCCGTGGAAGCAAACTCACCCTTCAGTGTACGCCGTGTCCTTGGCCTTCTCGAGCTGAACGGTGTCCTTGGGAGAGCCGATCTTGAGCTGTTCGCAGAGGCTCTTGGCAATAAGGTCACCCATGGGGGTGTCGATGACGGGCACGACGTCGAGCTCAGCCCACGCCTGCTCGATGCCGTAGTACGCCGCCTTCTTGCGAAGGTCCATCAGGGTGATCCAGTCCGCAGGGCTGTCGGAGGGAACGCAGCTCACAACGCCCGTGCCCTTGGAAGGCAAGATGGTGTCCATGGGCAAGACACGAACGCCCTCAGAGTGAACAGAGAGGGGCGCATTGACGAGGGAGCCAACAACATCAGCACCGGAGATGTCGGTAAGGTGCTCGATCTCACCCTCCTTGGCAAAGACGCCCTGGTAGGCCATGTTGCGCGAGGCGCTAGCGAGGTCAGCATTCTATCGGTTTCGGTACGTGAGAAGGACGCAAACATACCGGTGCGTGACGAGGTAGTACTCCTTCTCGGAGGCCTTGAAGATGCCGTAGTTGATCTTTGGCGACACGAAGAGAGCGCACTGTCCGTACATGGTCTCGGGGCGGAGGGTGGCGGGGATGAGGTAGACGCTGGCATCGGCCGGAAGCTTGCTCTCGAGAGCCTCCTTGGCCTTGGGCGCCCATTCAAGGACCTTCATCTTGAGACCAGTGTACTCTTGAGGACCGACACCCTCGCCCTCGGATCGGTCGTGGTCCATGCAGGGCTGGCCATCCTTGATGGAGTAGACGGTGTAACGCTTGCCAAACTTGATCTTGCCGAGCTCCTTGAGGCGGTTCATCTGCCACCTGATGAAGGCGTCATAGTAGGGGTTGATGTCGGTCGTGATGAAGGACCTGCGCCAATCAACGCGGAAGCCCAAGCTGGTGACGTCCTGCTGGCCGAGGTGGGGGAAGAAGGTGAGCCAGTACTGGGCGTCGGCAAAGAGATGAATCTGTTCAGTGGGAATGCCCATGGACTGCATGATTTGGAACTGCAACTGTTAGCCGAGAGTCCACAGCACCACGGCCTATCATCACACACCTGGTACTTGGCCTTGGCCGTTTTGGCCGTGGCCTTGCTCTTCTTGGTGGTGAATTTGGTGACATCGTCGCGCTTCACAGTGGTCACCGGCGCCGGCTCCTCAGCCTCTTCCTCCTCTTCCTTGTATCCCTCAAAGTCGCGGCCAAACTTTTCAATCTCGTACTTCAGCTTGTCGGCAACGGCGGGAATGGGCATACCGGTCGCGTGCCAACCCATGGGGAACAGGGCACGCTTGCCAGACATGCGCGCGGTCTGTGATGATTTAGCAGGACTCTTGCCGACGGGGCCGACAGACGTACACCAGCACCGAACTCGACCTTGCTCTGGGAGAAGACGTGGCCGGCATGAAGTTTTCCATTGACGTAGCTGTATGCGATGCAGCCGAACCTGGACCGGTCAGTACCTACTCGTCGTCGTCGGCGTCTGCGGGGACTGGTGTCGATACCATTTGGGGTGCTTCTCGCGCAGTTCTTCGGCGGATATGGAGTCGAGGGGGTATTCCTCAATCGAGGGGGCATCAGTCTCGAAGATCTTGCTGTCGGGCCCACTGCTGCTGGTACTTCTTCTCAATCGCAATGAGTGTGTCGCGCTTCTCGGTGCCCTTGAGCTCCTTGGTCTTGGAGATCTGGAGATTCTCCATTTCCTTGGCTGGGTCGGCCGTCGCCATGGCGGGTGATGTATGGAGGATGTCAATGCGGGTGCAAAGGACCTCGAGGTTCGGTAGCCAGTCTTGGTGTTCGGAGAATCGTGAATTATTGTCGTCTTCGTCCACCTGAGTCACGAATCGGAGCACCGTGAAGTTTTGGAGGTCGAGCAAAATGTGCCCCGCGGTGGATGGCGGGGTATCGGCAGCCATCGAGAGCAAGAGAGTGGTGCTGGCTGCTGGGATATGCCACCTTAGTCAGCCGACATTTGTGGGTCAGAATGTGCGGCCAAGTCAATGCTGGTCACTGGGTCACCAGAATGCTGTTTGTCTGTTCTTCTTTTTACGCAGAATAGCAGCCGAGGCTACTGCAGTCATTCAGACCGTGTCCATTACTTCTAACTACCTAGGGTGTTGAGACAGTAGATGCCCGGCCAGCGTCCCCTCCTCCACGGAGCAGCGTCTCTGCCAGACTCGAGAAATGCCTTGTTCGACCCGGCAAGTCAAAAGACAGGATCAAATGTCATTCTGAAGCATGGCGTTCAACCCGAATTGCGGAAGGCACACGTTGAATTTCTAGCATTTCTGCAGATAGGCAAAATCCACAGTTGTGAGTTCTGGGTACATGTAACCCGTGGCATTCGTCAGGGTCGGTAGAGGCACGGATTCGCCATGCGCGGGTTGCCAACTAGGAAGAGTCAGTACGCATATTATTCGCACATCTTCGGCATAGTATTATTGGGACTTACATCACGTCCTTCGGAACACCGTCGTTGGCCAATGCCCCGAGAGCAACCCTGAGAGTAGCCTGGTCGCCGGTTTCAAGGCCCGCGATGGGGTTGTAGTCGTCCGCATTGAACAGCACAGCAGGGCTGTTGGCCGTAGGGCATCGCGACGTTTGCCAAAGCGTACGAGTAGTCGGCGGCGTGGGTGGATTCCTTCATGTGCACAAAAGCCACCTGCATCTTCTTGTCCCGGAGCATAAACGGCTTCTTTGTGCTGCGGGGCCAATATCTTAGAACTCAGATCCTGAGAAACGCAACTGAAGGAGATCGACGACTGACCTATACGTAACAAACTTGTCCCGAGGAATGGCAGAGTAGTAGTCGCGCGCGATATCGACGGTGAGGACCTTGGCCCCAGCCTTGACATAGTCCGTGATGCCCCAGATGTGATCATGGTGATGATGCGAGGGCTGTGATGTGGTCAGTGTATCGATCGCATCAGGAGAAGTCACCCGCGACTTACCCAGACATATTTGATAGGCTTCCGAAGCTTCTCCTTGACCCAGCGAATCACCAGCAAGCTCTGGTGAGGCGGGCAATCAGCCACGACAACATAGTCGTCGAGCTCATACACAATCTGTCGATAGAGGTTGGCATCCTCAACGACCAGTAGCCAGAGCCCCGGAAGGTCGGGAGATGGATTGGTCGCCTTGATATTCGCAAAGGTTCCACGATACTCCCCACTCCAGACAGCACTCTCGAAGAACTCTCCGACTTCCGTAGAGCTATAGAGCGAACTGTTGGTGGGCACATTATCCGGCCTAAGATCGCCAGTGACTTCGAAGGCGGTGCTGGCCACACTGTCGATGAGTACTTCCCGGACTGTAAAGTCTGCGATGACATTGTGGTCGTTGTAAATAGACTTGAAACGTGTTGGGAACATGACGTTGTTCACAGCGGTGTAATGCTGAAGGACCAAGTCCTGCGTCGATTTGCCAATCACTCCATGGTTCTCGTAGGAGCGAATCATGTAAGGCAAGTTAGTTGCGGGATCAAAAATGACCGATAGACCGAGAACAGCGTCATAAACTTGAACAGTCAGCGAGCGATCTGCTGAACACGACAAGGGGTCTTATAAATGGTGCTTACCTGCAGGCAAAGACGTGTGTGTATCTATCTTCTCCCGTCGAAGAGACAATCGATTGTTTGACAACATCTGCGGCTGTAAGCGTTTGTGACTGTGATTGCTTGGCCAGGGAACAACTCAAACGTACCTCGAGCAGCAGACAGCCTATGCGCTTCACGAATAAGGTAGGATGCCAGAAGACCTGGGAATGTCAAACAGGTGCTCCTAGCAGTCTCATGGAGTCATCGCAGCGGTTTCTTACCATCTGTGAACCCTGACGCCGGTGCTCCGGGGGCAAAGAGAGAGGCGCTGCCCTCGACAACTGAAGCGAACCCCTGATTACCTCCATGCACGACTAGAGTAAAGTCCATTGGCTGGAGTGCGGCTCGAGCAAAGCCCCAATACGCTGAGAAGGGGTGAGAAAGCGCCCACATGATATTCAAGTGGCTGGACTCACGACCCAATTGATGGTTCCTCTCAATTCTCTGTTTGATGGACGGGCCATCAAACGAGAAGGAAACATTCTGGTTGCCGATTGTCGAGAAGGGTATGTCGACCCCAACGAGGTCGTAGCTTTCCAGCATTGACCTTGTTCGGTAGATACTATGTAATTCGTAAGCTTGCGCGCCCCTGACTCCGATTTGAATGGATGCAATTACTCTCCGCCTACGTATGTCAATGTTGTAATGTTGGCCATGTTTTCCGACCCTCCGAGCGCCTCGATACCTCGACTCAGGAGGGTTTGCGCCGTGAGAGGGCTTGAGGTTGAAGCATCAATGCCACGCTCTGGGGTACAGCACCCATAGGCCTGGCCTAATGTGGCCAAGGCGAGGCTTAAAGTCCAATACATGGTTTTGCTTTGCGAATCTCGTGATTAATCCGGTGTGGATGAGAAACTTGTCAATGTGCGCTGGGCATTCGTATCGGTGCGGGGAGACTCCTTCTTATTATCTCGTCAGATCAAGCACAGAGTCACGCCTGGCCATGAGTCGAATGTAGTTTGTCATCCTCAACTGGTGTTGAGATTGCACTGGATCTACTGCCACTCTCGTCGTGACCGCAAGCGATCCCCAAGCGAGTGGTACTAAGGAGAATCGAGGAGCTTTTCCCGTGTGATTAATGAAGTATGATGACGCTTCTGACCAATTCTTAGCCCTGCAAGTTGGGCCTCCCAGCCAGTATGTAAATCCTGGTGTCGGCTGCTGCGTGCTCATCCGGAGGAGAAGTGATCTTGGTCTCCTCTCAGCAGGCTAAGTTCAAGTACCGCGCGCGCTTAATGTGGAGCAAATTGGCACGCCCGAGGCTATGACTTAAGCACCGGCCTAGCTTTGTTGAGTAGTAGCTTACACGACGGAGAGACGGTTGAGGGAAGAATACAGGGGCCGTAAACATTCACTCATGATATGATTGTGGGGTACGAGGCCTAATTTCCGGTCGTAGTCGGAGCTTAAAAGCTACACAGGCAACGTGACCGACCCATTTGGCCCAAGTACGGAGACGCCCTGATGACGAATATTATAGCAATCGAGGCGTCGCTTGGAGGCCGCAAGGATAATATCGTAACTGCCAAGGACTACACGCAGCTTGGCACGTCGATGAGAAGAACTCCTGCGCGAGTTTACCATGCTCACGCCATCGCGCCGCAAACTAGTTGGGTGTCAATGCTGCAATACATTGCAAGAGTGCTCGAAGAAGTAATTTACATAGCAATTTTCTTACACATTGTGCCACCATTGGAACTCAATTTGTAATCTTGGTTGGGTACGTTGACCCGTCCGACATTCTGTACTCATACAAGCCGGGCTACCTTTGCTGCAACGTTCTCGCCACTCTACAACTACACAGACCGTACACGAAGAGGTCTTAACAAAGGTCGAGACCACCCGTAATGTGCCATGAGATGACATAGATGAAGTATGTAAAATGTCGTCTATGAAAGCCCGAAGTTCCAATGGATTTCCGGCTAGAAACCAGTCGCAGATGGTATCAATGCTGCGTAAACCTAGGCCACCCCCATTCTTGCGAAAGTCCAAGCCGCGGTACTTAGAAGTGTTCCTTCCAGAAGCGAAAATTGACTTCGGGCACTGTCACGCTTTTGCAAGTCGCCTTGATCTCACGAGCTGTCAAGTGGTCAGTAATGCTATCAGGAGCAATAGGTATCCTTCATCGCTTACCGGCTGCTGACGGTCCACAAAAGTAAACACCAACTGTCGTTCTGCCCTCGAGGCCGTTCGGGTAGGTACGATCTAACACCCCATCTCGTACGTCAGAGAGGAGCGAGTCAAAGTTGGGCCGGCCAAAATTGGTGCGTGTTTTGAGCTCAGTCAGAGGATCGAGCTTGGCACCAACAGAGTTAAGAATGATGTTTTGTGTCGTGTCCATATCCAATCGTTGCGTGAGATAAGTATGAATGTTGAGGAACCCAGAGCCATCAGGTCGGCTGGCGGCTTCGGCTGACTGTGTCTCCAGCGAGGACAAGAGGTTATGGAACCATTCAAATGCCCCAGTGTCCTTGCAAACCCAGACAAAGTCAATCCGCCGAAGACGCGCCGGAGGGTTAGGGCCTCGACGCAGGTGCCAGATGTTCTTGAGGACAGATGCCCAAGGAGTCACGCCGATACCCATGCCTATGAGTACGGCAATTTCGTTATCGAAGACGTCCTCCGCAGGAGCACCGTAGGGGCCATCGATGCGCACGTTCGGCATTTGTTGCCCCATTTGTAGGACGACCTCAAAAAGCGCCAATGGGTCGTTGTCCTCCAATAGCTTCGATTGTGAGGAGCCAGCCCCGACGCCAACAGCATCACCCAAATAGTAAGTGAAGTCGCCAACTTGACGAACGTGTATCGAGACATAGGGATCGTGCGGGCATGAGGTGATCGTGAAGGGGTGCCATTGGTATTTGGAGATTGACGGCACCTGTAGGAACAGCCATTGGCCAGCCTTATATCTGAATGACGGCTTGTTGAACTGAAGTTCGATGACGTCTGTCGAGTGATTAGTGATGTCTAAGCGAAATGGACTGGACGACATACCATAGGGATGACGGATTACACGGGTAATTTCAGTGGTGCGGCGAGCGCGGACCTCACGGTAGATACGTTCGATCACATACAAGCCACCTGTCCAGAGCTCCCACTTCCAGCCAAGGTACCCAATGCAATGCTTATAGTAGTCCTTCGCGAATGGTGAAAGAGGTTGCGTGGTATCCCGAATGAAACAGCCAACGGTGTGGGTGTACAATCCAAGGAAAAATGGAATGAAGAGATGGTGCGTATACCAGAAAGTCTCGAAAGACTGCTGACGGATGCGGCTATGCGCAGTGGTATACATCATAACCATGCAAAACAACATAACATGACCAGTGATACCACCGGCCTCGGTATAGTGAATTTGTATAGCGGTCTGAGGGCGGAGCTGGAGGCGTTCAACGTTGAAAAAGCTAGTGAAATCTCGATTAGCTATCATGATCAATATCGCTCGCGTTCGGAATGTCCCACTTGATATAATGTGCTCCCGTGTGCAGAAGCGTGAAGAAAAGCATAGCATATGCCAACTGTCTGTGAAACCACAAGTTCTCGTCCAAAGGCAGCCATCGCAACTTAGGCCTAATCCATCTCATGAGGGTGCGACATACGGGAAGCAAAATAAGCATCCCGTCGAACGAAAGGACCAGCCCAGCGCCGCGCGATGTCCAGACCGAGAATCGAAGAGCATTCAAGGGTGCTAGTCGGGGCTCGTTCGCTTGTGCGTACCTAAAAAAATGCGTCATCAGCTAACCGCTGCCGTACACTCATGCTGTTCGGAAAGGAACGCACCATCCATACGCAAAGACACCCCAATGTAAGCCCCAGAAGATGACATGGAAGGTTAACTTTTCGGCAACAAATTGCTTCTTGATAAGCGAGAGGTTGATGAGGGGCATGTCGACTGCTGTGCAACTGGCTTGAGTGTTCGACGAAGTTTTGACCAGCAATATAAGTGCCCGCAAGTCGTTTTACACTAAAACTCGAGGGCTTCCGAAGGCGTTGGCTTCGTCTCTGAGAGAAAGAACGATAGCGTCCTTCTTCTGCTGGTCATATAGACTTTGAAGGCGGGAAGACAACGAGGATGCGAAAGGAAGTCAGATTGGAATAAAGTTGAGCTATGCTGGAGAGAAGGAAAATATCGCTCTGAGCCAGCAGAGCCTGATACTGATGGCGAGCGCCTAAATGATGTGAAGTGAACCCCTGATCTTCTCGAACATGAGGAAAGGAGAAGCTGAGAGTAAAACCAAAATAATCAAAGGCTCGCAACAACAGGTGTCGTAGTGGAGCCGCAGTGTAGCATGTGGGCGAATCCTTGGGCAAATCGGGACTGAGACGCTGCTAGCTGTATCCCAGCACCAAACAACAGAGTAAAGCCGCCTGATCGACAGCAAATATCAAGGGGGGCACGTATCACATCCCTGTAAGTCTTCTTAATCGACTAGTCCCCCACCTCGGCGCTGTGATGAAGCTTCTTGCCAGGCTTTACCGTAATGTGACATCAAAAAGGGGGCCTTGGCGTGGCGCCTAGTGGTCACAGGGCATGGTTCGGGCTTGGGTGTTATTCAGCAATTATTGTTCCTCCTCGAAGTCATCATAACAAGACGGTCAGAGATTTACGTCACATACCTGCGTTGTATCTCAGACATGACGGTGAACGCGCAACAGACATGTATCAGTAGCCTTATGTCAATATCTAGCATCAGCGATGTGGACGGGCATTGAAAGCTTTGTCGACATCGGAGAAGCGCTCGGCTACGAGGCCACTAGATGGCTTGGACTTCAAGTCGAGATACTGACACACCAAGACCCAGATATGCCCAAATCCATGCTCCCGTAAACAAGCGATGAGTATGGACCCTGTCAGCCTGATCGCCATGGACACCGACGGCGAGAAACTTGGTGAAGAATGTTTGTGGAACGCACACTCAAGACATTTTTCCATCATGAGTGATGCGATAGAACATGATCGCAACCCACGCAGTATCATCGCCTTCATGGGTTCAACCAGAGATATGTATCATTTCCGCGGTCATATTGTTCGCCTTGAGCACAAATGTCGCTCAGACGCAAAGCAAGAAATATGCCGTATATCCCCTAGTCTCACGTAAAGGCAATGATAGAACTTTAGCGACGTGATGGACGCAAGCCCTGATTGTGATCACAGAAGGCTTCGTGATGCTGACCAGATAGCCAGAGTCTCGCGGAGCTGTCAGCAAGATCGACATTTCTCAGCGGATCTTCCGTCGAAGCGAAGTCATTGCTGCTGTCACCGGGCACGTCCTCCTTCTGGCCATGGATCATCCGATTTTCTTTGTTACACATCCACGGCCAGCCGAGACGCAACGAGACCGTTCCGGCAACAAAGTCAGTCCGCGGACGTATCGTATTGGCAATCATGATGAGGTTGGTAATCAACACATTTCTGACACTAATGAAGACCCAAGTCATCAAAAATTATCGGTGTAATATGACATGAGTTCCGTGGAAAACAAGTGTCAGGAAGAACTGAAGGCCGGGTCGGCGAAAGACTTCACGGGTTTTGTTACTGGAAAAGGAAAAGATCGGAAAGCGTCGTGTGGCACGAGCGCATCCAGCGTTTTCGAAGTCAACAGGTTCGAGTCATGTTCATACATGTACATAGGCTATCAGCTTTGACTGCCATCGGCAGGGTTATGTAGTTTGAAGTGATCATAAAACTCGTCATTCCGCCGTGGTGTCCCCGAGTGTAGTGTTTCATCACCCTTCGCGCACTGGTCGTTGATCATCGCCCTTTGAATGATTGACATTATGTCCACCATTCACTTTTTCATCCTACACTGACATGCGGATTACAAACCACTGCCTTGTCTTATTATCGGCTTCAGGGGAACTTCAGCAGCGAAAACCCGAGGCGTTGCTTCGATTCCAAGCCCCAGCCTCAAGGGCTCTTTCAGTAGCCAAATGCCCACCAACGACTCGCAATGGGCGGCTTTGATTGCCACGATGAAAAACTTGTGCGACGAAACGGGGCAGATGGAAGTGAATGGCCAGTCGCTTCGGATCCAGCTTGACCTGTTCCTATACCACCAAGATAGTTGCAATGCTTGAGATCTGCCTCTTCGCTGTCAGCAAACATTTTAAGCTTGCCACACAGCCATGCTCGATGTCACTCCAAGAACCGCAGCACGACCGGCCCAGCGAAATACTGTGCCGCCGTAGATGCATGTTGGGAAACAAGTTACGCACCTAGATTGTGTGTATTTTCTTTTTGTAAGATGATTCGGATCTGAGTGACTACTGCGAGGTAAAGTGTCTCTCCTAAACTCCGCGTGACATGTCGGGATATGCTCAGACGGTGGCTATCTGACAGATAGATCGTTATCCGTTGAAAAATGACATACGAATGGAGAGGTGCTCATGGGGACGCCATTTCCCCTTGATTCCGTACTGCTTCTATCATACCCAAGCGAGGAACCAGCCAAAACAATGCTCTGGGAACAGGGCGGCTTCGTTTTTCTTATCGTATGTGGACGTGGCTGTTAAAGTCTGAAAGAAATCATGAGGCCACCGCGAATACCATACCAATAGAGAAGCAGATTGTTACGTTTCTGTATTGGGACCTACGTGCGTCAGGCAGTCAGGGTCTGACAGAGGGCGACTTGGGGACAAGGCTCATGGCACACGGATGTGGGGGCGGGGCGACCCACATGTTCGGCGACCTACTGGGGCCGAGCGTTTTCTGAATCTTGACCCTGATCCCCGAGGCGGATAGTGACTGGAGAACTAGACCAGCCCGAAGCCATCGCAACAGACGTAACGATGCTCTCAACGCTAATACGACGCGCTGCACAGGCGACCGAGTCGACCTACAATGCGACAGGCAATCTCCATCAGCTGCGCAAGGTGTGGCCGCCCGACTTCACCAAGCTGACGCCGCAAGCCCAGCTGCGCTTCGAGAAGAAGTACAAGCGCCGCGTCGCCCTCAAGTATGCCCGACCAAGGTGGAACAAGGCCGTCAAGATCGTCCAGCTGGTAACTGTGACAGGTAAGTGACCTGTCTCCCTCCAATGGGGTGATGCACGTGCTGATTGCTTCGTAGTCTTCGTCACGGCCATGTTCTTCTCGGAACTCGATCTCTTCGGCCAAAAGTATCGCGCTTCGGACGAGGTAGGCGTGACGAGTGCTCCTCCACGGCTCCTCCATGCTGACAAGAGCAGTTTCAAAAACACGTCAAGAGCATCTTCGGGGCCATTGACGCCGACAAGCGGTACGAACGACGAAGCGACGCGCCGGCGCCACCACCTGCTCGCGAAGACACCCCGAAATGATGGACTGTTGGATATACATGGTTGGAGTTTTTGGCGTCATGTCTCTCCCCACGTCGTGGGAAACGCTGTGGGAATCATCAATGTATACTATTGAAGGCTGGCACAGATGCGTGCGCGCTTTCTGAAATCTTTTGCTCTAGTTCTCTGCCGAGCCGTCAATCATCGTGGTATCGCTCATCCTTGATTTTGTTCGTCTAGTCGTGAATCCCTCGGCGCGCGGTCGTCCTACCGGCCGTGCCACACAAAGTTACCACCCAGCCCCATGCCCGACCCCAGACCCGTCGACCTGCTCTCGTTGACCGGTCGCTTTGCTACGGTGCCCTGCGCCCGCACACCCGCGACGATGCGGTCAAGATTTGTTTCCACGACGACGCCACCGACAATCATCTCGCCGAGTGCTGCGTGCAGACTCTCGAAATTGAAAATCAGATCCAGCTCGCAGACATTTTCGAAAAGCTTGTCAAGCGACTCGACGTAGACCTGGATGAGGTCGATCAGGGCGAGGGGTGACTCGGTCGCCGTCGAGATGACGATGAAGTAGAGGGTCGCGTAGTTGCGGTATGTGACGAGAGAGGGTACGTCGTTCTGTTCTTCGGACGAGGACGAGTGCGACGTGCCGGAAGCGGCCAGCAGAGGTGGCAGCGGGAGGAAGTTGCAGGACCCTGACGGGCGATTCGACACCAGCGTGAATATCTCGGAGATGAGGCGCTGCTGTATGCTCGTCTCCTATGCAGGTTGCTTGCGTCAGCACGGTACCTTGTGGGCGGACACACGGAGACTACAAACCAGCTGGGTGTAGAATTTGGTCAAACGGGGTTGACCTTGGCCATTGAAGACCAGAAAGGCGTTGATCATTGTTGTGAATGGAGGTGCTGCATCACGGTAATGGAAGACAGAACGAGCACCGAGGCGCAACATGGGCCCTGGCGAGTGAGTCTCCGGGGTCAGCACCAGCACGCGGTGATCATCAATGGTGGGGTCGAGACTCCCTCCTCTGCTTGTCCCTGGCACATGACTTCACCGACGCTCGGACCACATGCGTACTGACAGCTCTTCGAACCTGAAGCTTGAGCTCCTCCATGTGGGGAAGCTGCTGCTCTTCTGGTTGCATGCATCACGTCCATCCTCGGCTCTTCCACATCACATTGATCACGGTTCATTGGGTCTCCAACATCAGCTCACGCCTTGAATTATCGACTAGATACCCCTTGATTTGGATTTCCATCACAATGGCTCCCTCCAGTCTCGCCTCGGTCCCCAGAGCTGCCGCTCGTGGCTTCCGCAGCTCGTCCATTGCGCAGACTGCCGCCCGCCGTCCCCTCTTCTCCATGTCTGCCCGCAATGCTTTCTTCGCCCGTCCGACCGCCGCCCGCAGGCTCTTCACGACCTCTTCTTCCATGACCCGCGGTATCATGCCTGAGACCAGCGAACCCCATGGCAAGGACACCACCGTCCCCGAGACGCCCGTCACTGTGAACGTCGCCGAGCTCACGGACGCCGAGTACCACGAGCTGGCCGATCAGTACATGGATGTTGTCGTCTCCAAGCTCGAGGAGTTGGCCGAGACCCGCGAGGGATTCGATGTTGAGTATTCGGTGCGACAGACGCGCGCTCCACAGGAGCCGTGGAACTCCAAGCTAACGTCCGCAACAGGCGGGTGTCTTGACCCTCAACACCCCGGAGCACGGTACCTACGTCATCAACAAGCAGCCCCCCAACAAGCAGATATGGCTCTCCTCGCCGCTCTCCGGCCCGAAGCGCTACGACTGGGCCATCCTTGGCGAGGGACAGGCCGAGAAGGAGGGCACCGGTGCCGGCAACTGGATATACATGCGTGATGGCTCTACCCTCGGCGATATCTTCCTAAAGGAGCTCGATGTGGATTTCAGCTTTGCCCCTTCGACATATGGGCAGTGAGACGGGTATACATGTGAGGATCAAGGAGTTCTTGGACTGTGGCTGGGCCGCTTGTGTGTACTATACGGATTTCCAAGGCGTGATATGATAGGCTCTATGAACTGATTTCAAACCGCATGCGCAATCTCTCGCTCTTGTGTGTCGGCCGTGCATGAATCGTCAATCCAGACGGCGCGGCTACAGGTTCTGGAAAGGCCGCCTGAGGGACCCCGATCATGGCAAGGAACAGCAGGACCCCGCCAGAGCGAGCCTCGAGTGGAGGCTCTGGAGTCCCCTCCCTACTGACCTGCACAACACATGTCTTGGTCCGGCCTTCCCATTCCAAGCCTCACAATAACCAGCTCTAACAAAAGGAGCGTTGTTTGTATTGTATCTTCATAAACTAATGTCCGAGCGAGTGTTTGAATGTTGGAAATGCAGATTGTAACGCCCCTCACTGAGTGCCCCTAGACATGTTCAAACCAACGTCTCCATAAGCCTCTCAACCCATATACGCCATATGCATGTTGCCTCACACGGACCAGACACTCAGTGCATGAGCTTGAAGCCGGAAAGAGGGTTAGGGTTGGGAATGACGATACCGCCGCCCTCGACAGCGGGAATAACCGACTTGTCGACCTTGGCAGCCAGCTCGCGGTGGGCCCGGAGGCTGAAATCCTGGTTGTCAAAGTTCTGGTTGATGACACCGGTCATGCCGTTCTTGCAGTGGTCACCGTTCTGCTGAGGGCAGTAGTACCAGATGGGCGTCTCTGTCTGCTTTACGACAATCTGGAAGACATTGTCAGACTGACCTTCTTCAACGGCAAAGTTGAAGCCCGAGTAGATCGACGTCCCATCGGCAAGGGGCTGGCAGGGCTCGCCGAAAGAGGACTGCGCGACTGCGTGGTTACGAGGCAGGAAGTGCCACTCTACAACGTCGCCCTTTTCGGCAACAACGTTGTCAGGCTCAAAGCGCAGGCCTCCGAGGCCGGCGACAACAGTGTGCGTCACACCAGTGAGCTCAATGATGGGAGAGGGCTCGGAGGGATGAGTCGGAGTAGGGACGGCTCCGACGGCAGCAACCAGAGCCATGGCGACAGAGAAAGACGTGAGGGCCATTTTGGTAATTTTTTTGGGACTCGAAAGAATAATGAGGTAACAGAAGGAAATACACTAGGAAAGACTCTAGGAAACAATTGTTATGCTGTTTGTTGAAGCTGATGCTGAAAGGAGAAACCACTGACTACCAGGACTTCATCACTCCTTATATTGACAATCGAACATGGAATTTGCTTACGCCGTGCGTTTTCGTCAAGTTACTGTCTATCGGAAGGATGGAGTTCCGCCACGGCGCGGGACCTCTAGAAGCCGGTCGTCATTCTGCCAGCGCCGTCTGTGTGGTGCCACGGCAGGCGAAGTCATCCTCAGCCCGGCCGGGCGGGCGTGTCAGGGAAGCTCAGCCTATATGGATATATGGTCATTGGCCGAATTTCCATTCGCGTTTGTCAAGTGCTGACGAAAGAGATTGGCAAATTGCGCCCCCGGCCCGCGAGACTACCGAAGTTCGGAGTGCTAATAATACGTTGCTGACGGCAGGTGTAAGCCGCCTATAGAAAACATTGAACACCGCATACAGGTCGAACTCTGGTGGATTTTGGTTTTCCCAATCAATTGTAACTCTGGCTGTCTCGTAAGAGTCATGGAGCCCAGTAGGAGCATATGGCTCGCATTCGACGTGGTAGCGTCAAGTTCCTTCCCCAAAGCCCATTAGTCGTGACCTGCCTCACAGCTTGTAGCGATAGTCTATTCCGTTCTTAGCATTCCGTCTGTTCAATACCCAGTACTGAATATTGGACACGGCCGAGGAGAAGACAGCCAACGAGACAAGTGCGATGATGACCGACCAGCCAGTTCTGTAAAGCGGAGCGTCCTCCTGCTGGAACAGCTGTCCTCCAACGATACCGCTGCTATTGGCTGACATAATTAGAATGGCAAAGGTGATGGATCTTTCGCCCGCCGACTTAGCATTAAGTGACATCCAAGAACCGTTGAGGGGGTCTACGTGATAGTGCATTAGCCTTTGTTCCACAAGTCTGCAACATGGGACTTACGCCATGGCGCCGCGAAGGCTCCGACTAACATCAGCAACGCGAATTTGGCATTGGCATCATCGGAATAGATCAGAGCTCGGTTACCAATCTTCAAGGATCAGCAATTGTCTTCAGGATATCAGTCGATGAAGGGTATAAGCAACATACCGCCACGGCAGCAAAAAATGTGACACCGAGGAAGACCAACGGCCCACGGCGGCCCCAGTGGTCACTGCATCCTGTCAGCCCTGTGGACGCCCATTCTAAACACTGAATGGTCTTACCCTGCGTAGCCCCAGGCCAAGTTTGTCACAAGAGCGCACCAATTGCCTATCGACATCATTGCGTTCGACCGGAGCCTGCCAAAGCCGAAGCTTACAACAAGCGAGGGTCCATACGACATCATGACAGACGCCGGTGCAAGACCGCAGATGGTGGTGATGACGTGGGGAATCAGTCTCCAATTTGTGAGCTATTTCTGTCAGTGCCTGTGCACGGAACGAGGCTGCGTAGGGCTTTTCCGAACTCACAGCGTCCTTGAGCTCGCTTCGGCTGACGTGTTGCTTTGCATGGCGCTTGGAAGGATCGTCCCGAATAACACGAGCGGTGAGAATCTGCGCTTCTCGTTCCGTGAAGTACCGGTAGCCAAACAGCGAGACAGGGTGACTGGTTGACTGTGGAAAAAGAGAAATGAAAGTGATTCCCACGGCTAGTGTCAAAATGCCTTCAAGGATGAAAAGCCATTGCCAACCGGCGAGACCATTGACGCCTCTCATATGAAGACTGGAATTAGTGAGCACGCTTCGAGAACAACGGCGCAGTGGAAAACCTACATGCCGTAGGCAATCAGACCTGATGTAGCTCCTGCTAGCATGTTGCCGATGAAGTACCACGAGAAGCGCTTGCTCGTTTCGACTTGCGTATACCATCGTGTGATAGTGTACAAACCTGCCGGGATAAAGCCCGCCTCGCACATTCTGAATACATCAGCTTGCAAGCTCACGCAATTCAAGGACTTCGACATACCCGAGCAGGAGGCGGGTCGCCATGAAGGCCCCAACTCCCTTTTGGAATGCTTGGAATGTAGCAACAAACCCCCTTTACCACTTTAGTAAGATTGACTTTGTCGTGATTAAAGGCGCAGTACGCACCAGGCAATGATTTGGGTTCCGATCCAGAGACTGGGCCCGACGCGGTAGAGGATGATGTTGGATGGTATCTCGAGTAAAACAATGCCAAGTGAGAGCAACTGTTGGCCAATATTGAATTGATTCTGGGTAATACCGACATCTCGGAAGAAAAAGTCGGTTAAAGCATTGCCGCTGTGCACATCAGTGAAATTTCCCAGCAGGGGCGCAATCTAGAGACGACTTACATGTTGCCTCGATCGAGTTGCAGTACGAAAAACCCAAGCCTGACTCGGACATTAGTTTGCTGCAACGTCGTTTACGGTTATCAGATCAAAGTATCTGGCTTACATTAGCAATGGCATGACAATAAAGTCAACCCTGTCTTCGTCAGCGTGTTATTCTGAGCCTCGAAGCTATTGTAGAGCCTCACTTCCGCACAAGACGTTTTTCTTCTTCAGGTGACCACTCGAGTGTACTGGTCTCGCCATCGCTGGAGTCGACGCTGCTATCGGCTACAGCGTGGACACCCACTAGCTTGGCTTCCTTGTCTTCGTAGTTGTTGTCAGACATGATGATGAAATTAGGTAGTTTCAACTTATGGAGAGAAAACAACGTTCGATGCCTTGTCTCTGTGTCTGGGTGCCCTAATCTTAAGCATATGGTTTGCGGAGGCTAGATCTTCTTCTCGCTATTTCCGATGGGATATCAACTAAATTCCTTGCACCATTGCGCCGGACTTCAAGCAAACCCATGTGGCTGGCCTGTTAAGTCCCGTGGTCGTCCACTTTCCGCGTGGGATGTGATGCTTATCTGCGGTGTCGCAGCCTTTGAGTGGTTTAGCGGGATTGATGCCATCGCACGCCATCAACACATGGCCAGACCCGTGATTCTGCCGCTCAGCAACGCGACTTGAGCGAATCAGTCTCAGAGTCTTGTGCATGGCAAAGACACCGATATCCGCTATCGAAGATTCGTCATGGTAATGAAGTCACTATTATTGGACAATTGAAGAGGCTCGCCTCGGACGCCGGGGAGAATATTCTGGTTGCGCAGGCAATGCATATGCCATGCACCTGTGCCCCACGCTCGACGATGCGACATTGGATCCAGGATCGCTCAAAGCAGCACAGATGCCGAGACCCGCGAGGGGCGAAGTTGCTTCTTTACCTGATGCATCACCATTTAGACAGCAAATGGCGACATGACACGCGCAGTGGATCACGACTTCACATCGCGTGCTCGAGCGCCGATCTCGCTTCTGGTCAAGAGTGAAGTACGGAAATCGATATCAGTGCGAAACTGCTTGCTGCTGTTCAAATATTTTTCTAGGTCATATCAGCCAGCGAGGGAGCCCTAAAAGAATAATCTGAAACGATACGTTATAGGTGCAACTACAAGATGGCCCAGCTTGAGGCCCGCAAGCACATATCTCTAGACTCGGGGTTTCCTATAACTCTCCATCCATCGTTCAACAGTAAGTATTCTCAGAGAGAATTTGTGGTGCTCACTTCTGAAATATTATAGGAAAGATTAGAGAACATGTACCACCCGAGATTCTCCGAGAAGAGATTAGGCCTGAAAAGGACCGAGCTCACTTCGCTGATCCTTCTAAGAGAGCCCTTCTTTCTGTAGCTAAGCAAGTCGACCTCACCGAGTCGATTGGAACCGTCCTCGAAGGTGTTCAACTTTCTACACTCAGCCTCGAACAGCTGGATGAGCTCGCTGCTCTAGTCACAGAGCGAGGTGTTGTCTTCTTCCGCAACCAAGACCTCACGACTGATGGTCAAGTAAAATTATTTGAGCACTACGGCGTTCTTGACAAGCATCCAGCTCAGAAGGACGTCAAGCATGTTGTGATTAAGGGAAGTACGGAAGATCATCGGGAAATCCTCAATTACACACCCTGGCCTTCGGGCGACTTCCACGCCGACACATCGTTCGAGATCAACCCACCGTCGTACTCCCTACTCCGGATGGAGGAGCACCCTGCAGTTGGCGGGGACACGGCATGGGTGTCACAGTACGGCCTGTATGACGCTCTGAGCGACGCCTACAAGAGATTTATCGATGGGTTGCATGCTGTGCATACCTCGCGACTGCAATATGACAGCATTATTGATCTCTGGGGAGTGGGACCTAATCGACCACCGATCGATAGTCATCATCCTGCCGTCCGCACTCACCCCGTCACTGGACTGAAAGCTTTGAACATCAACCCGGGCTTCGTGACAGGATTCGCTGAGTTGAAAAAGGTCGAATCGGATAAGTTGTTGGATTTCTTTGCCTACCACATCCATTCTGCAGACGATCATGCAGTGCGATGGAAGTGGGAGGTTGGGAGTGTTGCTATGTGGGATAACAGGTTGGTCATCCATGCCACTCAGCAGGCTCTTAGCCCCTGACTGACGTTTACAGGGCCACAATTCATCGGGTGATACCGGGAACGTATGACGCCCCTCGAAGGGGCATCAGGACGACCGTTTTTGGCGAGAAACGTAAGTTGCACCCCGTGATACTCTTGGGCAGCATTTGACTCTCTCAGCCTTCCTTGATCCGGCCAGCGAAAGCCGTAATCAGAGGGCCGCACGACTCAAGGATGCTAAAAAATATGGTGAGACTGCTTCTGGAGGCAATGTAGAGAGTGAGGTACCTATTCGCGAAAGTTCAAAGAATGTAGGGCCTGAAGCCAGTACTCCTGCTTGAAGCATGACAGCCACCCAGTCGTTTACGGTACGCAGACATGATACCGGGGCTTCTGGTAATGGGACCATCCTTTTCTTCAACCTTGCAATGATTTTCTAGCGGGAAAACTGTTAATCACTTATTTTTTCAAATGTGCGCTCCACGAGCGTTCATGATCGAATTTTATGAAAATCAATAACAGCATTTCCATCGACAACGCGTTCGAGTCATCCCGATCTTGACATGCTGTCCCGCTTAGCGGGCTTGGTTTCCGTTCCAATCATCCCAAACCCCAATTACAGGCACTTACGGCATCCGTCCTCCACTCCTAGTGGCCTGCGCTACCAAGGAATTGGTAGTGTCTTCTGCGTACCGCTTGTAGGACGCAACATACGCCTCCCGAGCACTCAGTGTGTCTTTCACGCTCTGTCGCTCGCTGATGGCATCGAACCACGTCTTCCATCGAGACCAGGTCTCGAGCTCGCCAGTTTCCTTGGTCGGAGGAGGAATGCCCACACCGCCAGGCTTGTAGTGGTCGATCAAAAACAGTCGCATAGCCCACGGCGCAAGCATCACATCGACCATGGAGAAGCGCTCGCCAAGGAACCACGGTCCGCTAGGGTGCATCTCACGAACTAGGGTTCGGATATGGTTCAGAAACTCAGATCGCGCGTTGTCGATTGAGTGGGTCTTTTCGGGGGTGTGCTGGATGAACTTGTAAAAGCCTGGGACAATCTTATTGTTGATGTGGTCGATCCAGAGCCTGCACCTTGCGCGTTCGTAAGGATCCGTAGGGAAAAGTCGAGGGCCATGCTTCGACTCGTCTGCATATTCCTCGTCGAGATATTCGGAGACGATGGTGCTGTCGTACAAGGGACGGACCTTCCCCCCTCCGTCTCGTGCTGGAACAGCCATGGTGGGGATCAGGCCGCGTGGATTCAGGCCGAGAAACTCTTTATTGGGACCATCGGGATCCTTGTTGTAGGGGTTCACCTCCTTGTAGTGATGGTCAATCCGCTTCTCGTGAAGAACCATCCAAGAGCGCTGGACAAAGGGACAAAACCAGCCGCCATAGAAGGCCAAGTCATGGTTGCTTGCGTGCTTCGCCGCGAAATTCGCGGCGGCGCCGGTAGCATGAGTTGGAATGGAGAGGTCAACGTTGCTCATGGTTAATCGCGTTCAAGATTGACTCAAAGAGTACGAGGGACTCTTTGGTTTGCAGGGAAGTTTGCAGAAAAAGGTGAGGCCTTGATTCGGCATGATGGGAAGAATAGGTCAATGACGGTGCCACCAATGACGTGATGATGAATGCGGGGCCGGACCCTGGATGCTCGGCCCGGCCCGGTCACATGGCCGTGTATTGAAAGTCGGACGGCTAGCAAGACAAAAACGGCGCAACAAGCTGCGTCCTTCCATTACGCAGTCTTCTCAGCATCTGGTATTTCGGATGGAAGATCCTCAACGGGCTGGACCTTCTTCACAACCCTAGCCGGGGTTCCGATGGCGACGGAGAAGTCGGGAATGTCCTTCGTGACGATGCTTCCTGCTCCAATTGTGCAGCCTTTGCCGATCTTGACGTTGGGCATAATGGTCACATTTCCACCAATCCAACAGTCGTCACCAATGGTCACTGAACCGGCGTATTCGATAAAATCTCGGCGAGACTGCACCTCGACTTCATGAGTCGCGGCAAAGATGGAAACAGAAGGGCCAAACTGTATGAGTTAGTCAATGGTTTCACATCTTGAGAAGAACAATTTACCAGGACACGGTCTCCAATCTTGACAATCCCACAATCAAGAATCACCAGGCTATGTAGTGTGAGCTTTAATACGGACTGTATACAATTCGAACTCACTTGAAGTTGCTGTAGAAGTTGTCTCCGATAGTGATGTTGCAGCCATAGTCGACGTTGAGGGGCGGTTCCATGTAAGGCTCCTTGCCAACTTTGCCGAACATTTGGCGAATGATATCTTCTCGCTCTTTCACGAGAGTGTCGGGCGTAGCATCCTCGGGGAAGTGGTTGTTATACTTGTGCATGAATCGCCGAGCACGGAAGCGACCGGCGATGAGCTCCGGCGCCAGCGAGTTGTAGCTAGAACTGTCAATTCAGGCAGAAAGTGCGACTCGAAAGATACCTACAGCATTCCTGAGATCATCTTCTCGTAATCGTCACACCAAGGGATGTGATCCATCTGCTTGGCGCACTTGATGGCGGCGGCATCCTTCTGGATCGCAGCCATGTTTGGGACGTCGATGGAGCTACCGTGTGATTTCTGGTGATGGTTACGAGAGATAGAATCTTTTGACAGAGCTCAGTGAAATCAATAGGAAAAATGTCGAAGTTCTGGGAGGAACATTGGCAAAGGGAATCTTCGCTGAGGGGGCAAATGAGGCGTTCCTTAACTAGCGCCAGGCAGGCAGAACGCCACAAATTGTGCGGAGTAAGTTCGGAGTTTCATGACAGAAGGTTATACCTCGGAGCTGCCTTTGTTGGATCTCCGAACGCAGTGAGGAAGCACTGGCGCTGCCAAGAAGGAGGGAAAAAGGTGCGAACATTTCCCCGACTAGTGGTCCACTTGTCCGCCAAAGACCCGTGATATTGATTTGAACATGATGCTGTAACTGAAAACACCATCCCCGAGACGAGACGGCCTCCACAACAGACGTAGGCCTGTGCGCAGGCCGGGACCGAGGCCGGAGGGTCGGCGCCGACACGCCCGCATCACGGGGTTCCGGACTCGTGCACAACGCGGTCGATAATCGCACGGGAGAAGTTATTCTATGTGAGCCTGAAATGGCGACGTAAAATCGATGGCGCTTAGCACAATGGCATCGTTTGAACTACTGCATATGTAAATCAAGGTAGCCCCTACACCGCGAGCAATGAAGTTATGCCGCCGCGACATCAGCCCTCACATGAGAGGCTGCGAAGGCGGAGCTGATCCCAAAACCAACTCCATACCCGGATCCGACTTTGCCATGGCCCTTTGATACGCTTCACGCTCTCCCACTCGTTTCAAGAAACCCACTATGTTTTCGTACTCTCCCAGGTCGATGGGGTAAAAGTAGCGGAATGTTGAGACCTGGAAAACACACATCAAGTCGGCCACCGTGAACGCTTCTCCTGCAAGCCATTTGCTCTGGCCAGCCTGTCGTTCATAGATGAAAGCGCCTTCTTAGAGCGGCCGAAAGCAAATGCCCCCTCGAGGGTCACCCTCGCGTAATCCAATTGCATAGGCTCCCAGTGCTCCTCCAAGGGCGGACTGCAGCGTAGCGTTGGACCAATGCCACCAGAAGAGAAAGGTGGCGTATTCTGGGAAGGACGAAGGCACGAAGAGCTTGCCTTGAGCGTGTTTGTGGCTGATGTACTCAACACACGCACCGCTCTCTGCCAGAGTCAGGTCGCCGTCCTGGATGACAGGAGCTGTGCCCGAATGATGCAGTGCTTTAAACTCAGCAGGAGCCATGAGTCTGTCGCGGTCGTAAACTTTCAGCTCGTAGGGCACTCCGAGCTCTTCGCAAAGCCATGGAATCCTCTCGGACATGGATACATGGAGGTGGTGGACAATCAGAGTCATGGTAACAGATATCTTATGAGACGGCAAGGTCGAAGGAGGGAATATGAGAAAAGGTTTGTCGACTCGTGTTTCCTTTGGAAGGCTTTGAATGTCTCAAGGGTGTTGATTAATATGACTGGAATGGCAAGCAAAATCGGCCCCCGTTAAATGCTAGTTGTGATTTCGTCTCTCCGGCGCATCCGGGCGATCACAACATCAGTTTCTCGGCTTTTGACTCTTGATTAGGCGCTAGGTCAGAACACCTCGGCGATTGTATTGGATTTCAATCGCCGATCTCCATCTTTCCACGGAGGACATCATATCACCAACAGAAAAAGGCAAAGCTCGGCCACGATGATGAAGCTACATGTAGCGATATCAACCATTGAAAACGTGGGTTGGTAAGCTGCATTTCAAATCAACCTCCATCACCCGCTGCAAATGCTTTCCCTCAGATCAGTGAACCAAAGGATATCTACATACCGTAGGTATGGGGTTCCTATCTCAAGACCGATATCCGAGAATTTTTGAAAGAAAGGCAACTACATGATAGCGGCCTTGATGCTATCGAAACCCGCGAGGCAGCATTTTCATTCTGCAGATGAACTCAGTCACGCTTATAAGAACACGCCTTATGCACGCCGGTTGTCACAAAGCCACGTCTTTCGCAATATTGTACTACAAGTCCAATGTTACAGTCGGCCCCAAAAGTGTTCAATGGCAGCCTTGACACGCTCGTAAATGCCATACAGTAGCCATCCATTCAATTGAGCTCAAGGAAACGTATGAAATCATCGTCATTGATTAAACTGGGCTACGTTCATATAGGTACGGAGCCCAAGTTTATACAACGTCAACGGGTCTCATCAGTGATAGTCAACAATTTCTAAAACTTGCTTTGGAAATTTGTCGATATCAAGTCGTGCTCTGTCGAATGATTCAAAGCAGTCGAGTCGCATGTCGTACATCATTTCAGAATCTCTGGCGGCGGCATGAAAACTCGTCATCCGTAGGTCGACACTCGGGGCTTGCGTATCGCTTCGTCGGCACGGAAGGTGGCCTCATTCTCGTGTCAATCAATCTCTCGACTGCCACGCTCGCTAAAGAGTGGTCCTGATTCGTCGAATGCATTCGTGGACGAAGAGGGCCGGTTCTCCGGATTTACGAAACTTTTGATGAATGGCATTTATCCGCAGGATCATCCCACGTGTTGGAGGATGGTCATCTGCAGCTCCGCCACCGCCATGCACAGCACATTCGACATCAACTCGCAGTAAACTGAAGGCAAAGGTAGACGATTATGTGGACGCGCAAGATGAACGCGCAATCACAAGCTTGCAGTCGCAACACTTATAAACTCCCAAAGGCTATTCCCGAGTTGGTACCTGCCAAGCCTCAAGTCATCAGGAAGGCGTGCATGAGCAACCCTACCCCTTGGCGCTGACAAGAACCTCTTGCTGCAAGAAATGGCTCTTTGCCTGTTGATCTAGTTCTCGCGCTTGGTAACCTCTCATGATTATTGCGATTGAGGCCCTCAAAGTGCCAAGAGAAGTGCTAAGCCACAATGCAAGCATTCGAATTTGATTGCACAGCAGCTTTTCCCGTGGAATAATCATATCACGATGTCATAAGGTCTATACGCGTCACACAGGTCGTTACCTGCCCGGCAAGAAGCGTACTATAAGATTGCATGGACGTCTGCTTCATGGAATATTATGTCTTTTACTAATCAGGCGTATAAATTTAGTTGACGATACTTGGTACATCATGAGTTCACTTCTGGACCTCCGCTCTCGTAGGAGCCTTATGTTGCTTTTGCATTCCTTGTGTCGTATCTTCACAACCCTAGCACAAATTCCTGATGAATTCCTCGATTTGTCTCTGCGGCCACACAATGAGCCCGAATGGGTGAACGTGCGTTTGTCGGATGATTCGACCGCAAGTCCTGTCTAACCAATCTCCCATAGTTCACGGCAAGCAAAGCTCTCGAGTGGCATCCATGCTATGATGAGCCTATGGAATGCGCACGACTACTTGTTCCGATGGACTATGGTGTATGCAACGGCTCATACGTCACCTTAGCTGTCATTCGTCTCCCAGCTCAAGACAAAGAGAACTACAAGGGGCCCCTCTTTGTGAACCCTGGTGTGAGTGAATGGGAAGAGCCGTTGGCACAGCATGCTCTGAAGTCCAAGCAAAATGCTGATTAAGATACTAGGGACCTGGAGGTTCAGGTGTTGACCTTGTCCGACAGGGCGGAAGTTTCATTGCCGAGATGCTGGGGGCCAACCATGTAAGTTTGCCCACGGCCACCCCTTCAGCCTCTTGAGTTGAAAGTCAGCTGAAAATTATAGGATCTGGTTAGTTGGGATATTCGAGCCAGTAAGTTTATCGCTTCCAGCCAGAATTGCTCACTTCACTTGGCTGACATAACTCAGCATGGAGATCAACCCCAAGGACGCAATGCTGGGCAACACGTCAGCGTCGAGCGGTCTGGGAGACCAGATGGCCAGGTATGCCTGACCAGTACAACGATGATAGCTTCATCGCCACGCTACTGCATCGAGCCAAGATCCAAAACAGTGTCTGTGCCGATCGCCTCGGTGACAGTGGTATTCTCGCGCACATCTCGACAGCTAATCATGCCCGTGATATGAACAGCATTCTGACGGCCCTTGGTGAGGACACTATACGCTTTTACGGTGCCAGCTGGGGTAGCGCCCTGGGAGCCACCTTTGCAACGATGTACCCCGACAAGATTGAACGCATGATTCTGGAGGGTACGTTGATCATCTCAAAACCAAGTAACGCTTGCTGATTGCATTGAACAGCGAATGTAGACATTGTTGAGCACTCTGCAGGCAACTGGGGTCGGGGCTTTGCTGACTCGGATGCCCTGATTGACTGGTTTTTCGAAGAATGCGCAAATACCGAAGAGTGCGCCATCCATGAACCCACCGCAGATGCCGTCAGGAAGCGCTTCGAGTCCATTTTGGAATATTCCAAACAGAATCCAATTTATGGGCGGGCTCCTGGTCCCTTGGTTTATGCTGGAAATATCCAGCACACGTACGTCTCCGAGGCTCCGACTTACTCAACCCTTCTGGTGCAGATCCGTAGCGCGCTGTACACGCCATACATATCCTTTGGAGATCTAGCTAGGTTATTGAAGAAAGTTGAAGACGGTGGGTATCCGACACCCGAAAGATCTGTCGTATCGAATCCGCCTTCTTGGTGGGCTAGAGTGGACAGCGCAGCGCTCTCTGATACGGTATTCCGTGATTTGAACAATCCTGACGATTGGATTGGCCCTCAGTACGCTTCAGATGAGTTCACCTTATGCGGTGACTGGCCCGAGCTACCTGACCGCATAGATGATATCAAGGATCTGCTGGCTGAAGCGGTTGGCCGCCACCGTCTAGTGCAGCCGAGGTTGACATCAAATTGTCATGCATTGGAGCGCCTCAACCCCGCAGACGCTTTGAGGGTAAGACCTTCGTGTTACATCTGTATTTTCTCATTGCCTAACATATGATATGAAGGCCCATACGGGGCAAACACGAGCTTCCCGATATTGTTTCTCAATGCACGTCTAGATAACATCACGCCACTAAGATCGGCTCAAGCGAACTCAGCACTCTTCCCGGGTTCTGAGTTGGTCATTTTGGAAGGTCGCGGTGTAAGTCTTGCGCATACTGTTGCTAGCCATAGTCGAATTATGAGACTGATGATGGGGTAGCATGTGTTCATTCCGCAAAGCATTTGCATGAACGAACATGCCCGGAGGTACATGCAAGACGGTACAATGCCGAAGGCCAACACTACTTGCCCCGAGTTTATGGAGATTTTCTGGTTCTTGGGCCAGGAAAGTGATGGTGATCAAGAAGAAGGCGAGGTCGAACGAAGGTCGACGCAGGTTGACAAGTTGAAGACGTTCCAGGGCCAATGGCTACGGAATAGGCCATTTCTGCTCTGAGCGGGCACTTTATAGTCGGGGAGTGGCGAAGACTCATATTTCATCATATCAATAACTAGGTGTTGACTACTCCCGAATCCAACATCCAGCAAAGCCCATCTCTGTCCTCGTGGGTCCTTTCCAGTCATCCTCAGGCGCATCCATCAGGAATTGGGCACAGTGGTCAGTGTGTCCTGGGCTCGCAACCACCGTGTCGAACGCCTTGCTTTCATCAAATAGTACGTAGAACTGCTTCTTCCACATCATGGCGCAGTGGTTTACGTGGTCTCGCCGAGAAGTATAGTAAAAGTCCACCTCGCCCATGTCATCGACGGAGATCGGCTTCGTCATTTCCTTGTCGGAGAACCCGGCCCAGCTCTGGTCATCGCGGTACTCGTCAATGAACTCTTGGTCAAGGCACTGCTCAGGCACCCAGTTATTCAGCAGGATATCGTACTTGCAGCCTGCCTCTCTGGCCTCTTGCGTTGAGTTTCCGCAGCTTATGAGTCTGGCATTGGACGTGATGTTGTGGCGATGGACGTGGCCTTGCTCTATGGGTGACTTATCGTCAATGGAGGTGTAGTGTGCGTCTGAGTCGGTGAGCGTAAGAAGAATGACCAAGATCCAGAAGAGGGATGTGACGAAGCAGACAATAGAGTGTGAGATGATTTTGGAGCGGGTTTGGTGCGGCTGATGAAAGCGCGCGTTTGCTTCGTCTGCTGACGGATCATCGCTGAGGAATGGCCGGCTTTCATTCTTGGAGAACATGGCGATCAGTGCTTCGACGAAATTTGGTAGGGCTTGAGGGTGTGAAATTTTTTGAGATGGCTCGACTCAACTGTTGGGGCATTGCAAATCCTTTATCGCGGAAATGCTGGCTGAGCTTTGAGATCTCCTTCAGGAGTGGTATACATCATCTCGAGACAAGATACGTTTTGAAACAAGTCGTAGGACAGCGTTGTCACTGGTCGAATTGAGTTGCGGCGTTTCGTCTGATCGCCGGTCTTGAGATATGAAGCAGTTATGGTCTTGGGGGGGATGGCACGGCCTCTTTAGTGGGTGTTTTGATCCCACTATGATCCGATGAGAGTGCATGTTGCATGTTGCTGCCCGAGCCAGGGCGGCGCTCGACTGGCGCAGACAGAAGACCTGTGATTGCCGTCCGTGGGTTTACGTTTCCATGACGGTGGAAGAAAATGTCAAAGCAAAAAGAAGTGCTGTCAGTCTGGCAAGCAAGTGCACATGACGAACGGCCGCCCTCAAGCGGCTACGTGCAACATAAGTGCCCCATGGCCAACTCACCTTTTGCCATCTCCTCTTCACGGTGGATTGGACCTCGATCTGATCTTTTCTGTCAACACCATCTACTCGGGCACTTTGTGTTTCCAAACCTCATCAGGAAGCTTCGGAATTCAGGCGGCATTGTCGGACTCCACAATCGTCTCGTCGACCGCAACGAGACCTAGCTGTGGACTGGCTGGTCATACCATAATCATCAAACCCAGATTGCGTTGCCCTAGTCACGGACGCTGTAGTGGCAGATTTTACATGACTGCAGCTTGGTCTTCATACAGACTGACGTGGTCCTTGAAAAAGATGGATGGCACATAATGCAGCCACCCAGGGTCTTTGGGTCCAGCCATGCAACACTGTCCATGATGTTTCCTGATTTAGCTGGCACCAAAATATCTTCCACCTTGCTGCTTATTTCGCGACGCGGAAGTCTCCGCAGCTTAGCCCATAGACCAGAGTCCTCAGACCCTTAATTCCACCGACTGGACCTACCCCAGACATCCAAAGAAGACACACGCCAGAGGTTGAGCTCTCAGAGTTTCCCGCCAAGTCTGACATTTGCAGATCCCTCGGCGCAATCCAGCTTGCGACCCGTCCGCCGACAGCACCCGAAGTCAGCGAGCGGACCAGCTGCCACAGACCGTCCGATCGCCCTCTGTGGGCCTGGAACCACCGCCCGCGAGCCGCGGGGTGCTAATTTCAGGGCCTCTCAGACGTTTCGAGCGCTTCACATCTCCCGACGACGATGTGAGCGTTTCGCGGCGCCCTCCGGCGGACGAAAATGGGGGCGTTGGGCGATGAGCTCGTATCAGTATTAAATATCGGGAGAAGGCAACCCTCAAAAACATCTTGATGGTCACTCATCAGACCAGCATCTATAAACAAAAAGTCCGCAGCCTGTCAAGTTATTACCCAAGCTACGATTATTCACAGCCCATCAACAACCCAAACATCATTCAACATGGCCACAATTGCGTACGACCCTCTCCCCCAGCTCCGCGGTACCCAGAACTACCGCGTCTGGAAGGCAAGAATGCACCAGGTCCTCGCGTCACAAGGCCTCATCGACCGCTTGCAGAGCAATGGCTCTTACTACGACTCGTCCGCTCAGCACCTTGATGCGCTCGCCCTGCAGGCAGCGGAGCAGAGGGCATTCGCCTTGCTTCTTGCTAGCATTTCTGATCAAGTCCTCGAGAGACTGCTATACTTGGGCTGGAGCAGCGACTCGCGAAATGCGTTTCTCCTGTGGAAGGCGGTCGAAGAACTTAGCGCCAGGGGCATGCTTTGAGTGATTGTGCAATGTGTGCGAGGAACACAGTGATGAAACCAAATCGGGCGTTTTTGTTTTCCTGGTTAGTTGAGTTGGATTTTGGGCAGTGTTCTTTTCATTTATGACGAGCGATGACGAGCGACAACATTTCTTTAAAGCATAGGCGGTGTAGGGTTACTCTTTATGCAGGCATATGATTATGTGATCAATTCATTGGTATCTCACTTTCTACCCCTTCAGAAGAAGTCATGTATCATGAGAACGCTAAGCAGAGAATGGGATGACAGGGTAAATGTGATAGCGCCAGCCCCAGGGACAATGTTGGTCAGACGTGATACGACAGCGAGACAGAGACATGGGAAGACGACGTGGTGGCTTGATTACTGGAGGAGCATGGCACCGGCGACGGCGGCGGCGGCGACGTAGGCCGAGATGCCGAGGGCGGAGGTGCCGAACCCGGGGGCGATGGCATTGGCGGCGCTGGGCTCGTTGGTAGACTGAGAGTCGGAGTTGGAGTTACCGTTGTTGTTATTGTTGTTCGAGTTGTCGTCATTGTTTCCATTGCCGTTGTTGTTGTTTGAGGAGCCGGTAGGGGTGGACTGCGAGTTGGTGTTGGTGGGGGTGGCACCGGTAAGGCTCGTGGTCAGCTGGCTGCTGGCGGTTAGGGCAGTGGCCTGGACGCTGATGCCAGTAGCAGTAGAGATAGCGTTGGCGTCATAAGAGGTGGACGAGAAGCCACAAGTGAACATGATGTCGTTGATGTCTTTTTGGTTTAGTATGGCATTCAAGTGGATTGACTTTGCAGCTAGGATCGACTCACCCTCGTTGTCATCAGTATCACGGTTGGCGTTGTGCATGCAGGCGGCGCACTGAGCAGCTACTTGGGCAACGTTGAAGCTGTTGTTGGTGCAGAAGCACTGGGCCTCAAGCTGGTCCTCGGTACGGTCATCAAGGCGGTCATTGTCGTCAAAGTTGCACAGCTGACCGAGACGAGCGACGGGATCGCAAACGTTCTGGCACTGAGCAGGGTAGTCATCGCGGTCGAGCTCGAGGTCTGCGTTGACGAGCGCGACAGTGGCCATGGAGGCGGCGGCGAGGGCGAAGCGGTTGAAGTACATGATGGCGGTAGTGTTGAGTTGGTGAGTTGTTGGTGGATCGCTGTAGTGGCTATTGAAGTGTCTAGACTGGGTGGTTTGATAGTATGATGATGCGAGAGAAGGAGTAATGTTGCGATAGGATTCCGGTGTATTTATGTAAATGTATGGAACAAGCAATGCTACTCGATCATGGTCCGGGGAAAAAGAAGGCCCCTTGCTAGAGATCGTCTCCAACACCTGTGATGTAATGCGCCCAAGCTAAGAAGCTCTGCGCTGGCGACCTACAGAGACATGGTTGTACGCCAAACGGGCACTGATGGGGTTTGTCTCAGCAAGTACCTCACCCTCATCTCCAGTGTAGACGTCAAGGTCGAAGCCCTGAGTCGTGAGCGGGTCCTAAGCGTCCAAGACCAACAAGGGGGCGGATGGCACCAATGCCCGGCAATGGCTTGGCCCCATCGTGCGTACTCACAAGGTGAACCAAGTAATCAAAGCATCAGGTCACATTAACCTGGGGCCAAGCCACACAGACAGCTCCGCCTCACACACGCGACTCACGCTACTCCCCAGCGGACTGGCTCGCTGCCCGTTTCCGCAGGGAGGGGCCTGGTCTCCAAAGTAAGGGGAGAAGAGTCAGGCTCCAAAGGGGCCAGGAGAAGAAAAGCACCAGTGGTAGAGGACGGAACAAACAGGGAATGTCCCCGGGTGCTGGCAAAGCCTGGCTTGGCATCTAATCATGCAGTCTGTTAGTGTTCTTGTGCTGGAGCTTCGCCTCTGGGGCATCACTGGTAATTCGTTCATTTTGCCCTTTGAGACCCGCTACAGCGTCTGGAGGTGGAGATCCTCGTAGCTTATTTCTCCAACATCCTCGACGAGCTTGACCGTTCTTAGGGGCTCTCTTGGTAGGCTCTCAGGCTCTTGGTGGCAACTGTGACGATTGAGGCTGGGGACGAAATCTGGGCACTGAAAGACCCCCGCCAAGACCTTAAATCCACGAAGAGATGTGCCGGCATTTCCTTGGCAGCGAAATCATCATTGGTGAGTATCATACTGACGATGCGCGTTGGTAGCAGCGTAAGACTCAGGCGAGATTCTCAAAGCATGTCATGACTACGGCTATGACCAGGAAGAAGCCTTGGGTCCCGCATTCTTAGCATAACAGCGAGAGTGCTCTTAGCATGGCAGCGAAAGTGCTGCTGTTTTCTTGTTGGCAAATTTAGCACACTTGTCTGAAGCCCTGCCATTGCGCTTGACAGGCGGCCTGTCTGATCGACCGGCCAGAAAGGCCGCCGCCGGAAGAAAGGTAGCCAACACATCTCACCAACTGCGAGTCTGATTGCTCACTGCCTAACTGGCATGCTATTGGGTAAATGTTTCAAGTTTCAGGTTCAAAGCCTGTCGTACTCTTTCCTGCACGTTTTCAAGCTCCAAGGAGCTGTCGCGGGGGTTTCCCTCACTCTTGGCTACACAGCCCTGTGCATGTCCGCGGGATTGCGAAGCCTCATCATCTAGCCAAGTCATCAAGTCCCACCGAATGCTGCAAGCCCTGCGGGAGATCACCACTTGATTAACCCTCATTCTATTCTTGGACACGGCACTTCATCTTAACCCTCAACCCTTTTTCTCTACGAACCATCGCAATTCATCTTGCGCCTCGTGGCGTCTAGGACTTGATTTTGACACCGCCTAGGACTTGACAGGATGAACATGGAGAATGGGGATGCCAAGGCGACAGCCACAGCAGTTGACGACGTGTTACACAACCTTCACTCCACCCAGGGATGGCTTTACTCGTGGCTCGAATGGATCAACGCGACGCTCTAAACCCATTACGTTCGCATTGCGCGTCAGACTGCCGATGAGTGACAAGACCTGGCGATCAGTCTCAACAGTGTCCCGCCGGGCTCTTGTGATCATCGCTTTCCTTAGTCTACCTCATCAGCCCATCGTTTTCCAACTAACTCCTTGTTAGGCCGTTCTCCCCAGCCTCGAAATCCCCCTCCCTCTTTTCCCCAAAATATCACCAAGCTCCACTGTAAAATCAATTGCGAAGTTCACGTACGGCAGCAGCGAGGGGAGTTCAGCATCGCCCTCCTTGGCTCTTGAAAGAGCCTCGAATTGGTGTCCGATCCCCACTACGTCTCGACTCGCGCCCCTCTCAATCTGCGACACCTCTCTCCAAAAATATCCTACTGCATCGCCTAGGTCACCCCATCCCCTCAACTAGACCCCATAACTATAATGATCAATTCCCGGCGGGGATGCTTGGCTTCCGCTTCTGGATGCCGTCGGCATTTCCGTCCTATCAAGCACCGCCTCGGGTCGTCGTCATGCCGGTGATCGCAGTGGGCTAGGAAAGGCAAGGTCGATTCAGCCTGTGATATATGCCATCACCAATAACACCTGCGGGGGGCCGAGAAAGAAACCGAAACTGGTAATAAGCTTATTCGCTGCTGAGGCTTCCAGGTGCTTTAATCATGATGACGTTTCACTTTCATCCTAACCACTCATCGTGTTGCTGTCGCTGCCAGGTCGCCTGCCCGTGAGCTCGACCGACTGTGCTCTGCGTGTGTCGGGCCGCGATGCAATGTTGCTGAACACCTGAGACTTTCCGCAGCAGATGTTTCGCGCCTGCATGCACTGCGGCCTGGGTTGCGTGGACTTTCCGCTCGTACTGGGGAACGTACCTTGTGAGCTTGACACCGCTTTTAGCAGCTTTGAGGGTAATGATCGTTCGTTTTCCATGGAAACCTTAACGATCAACCCCGCGACCCGACTTGTGAAGATCGCGACTGTGAGGATGGAGAAAAAGGAGGAGCGTGAGAGTTGACGTGAGTCAATTGATTCTGATTTGGCAATCCTCAAAATACCACAAATGCTTAATTAACGCCACCAGACCTTCCGTGCAGGCTCGACGGGGTGGTAGCACTGAAATAAATTCTCTTAAGCTGTAATGAACTGCGATATTTGCAACTGTCCGAGAATAGATTGGACGACCATAATCTCAAGGTAGTTCCGGGCCTCGAGTTTAAGAGAAGGTATCAGTCTTGAAATATGCAGATCCATCATCGCGTCCAGCCATGAATAGAACGCTGAAGCACATCCGAAACCAGAGAGATCATAGTTCCAAGAACTACCCACTCTTGCGTGACGTCGACGGCAGCATTTCTTTGCAGTTGACGTGCTTCCCTGGTGCTACCCTGACGACCTCCGTTTTCTCCAGATGTGATGTCTTCGGGCAGACCGGCTAACGGCTTGAGGCCCCCCTATAGAGTCCGAGATAGTATTTTTGCCATCCATGGCCTTGACTACCAGCAAGGAAATTCTTCATGCTTCTGGCAAGCTTGAAAGCTCCACGCATGTCCGGCGTCCCCATATTGCTGCTGCTTGTTATCCAGTCAGGGCTTAGGGTGGGCTGAAGGTTCGTGTACATGGAATGGGCAAGCGGACTTGGTAAAGGGAAACGGTATACTTTTGAGGCAAAGTCTAGCGGTTCATCCTCCTTCCACTCGGCTGGGCCTTTTTCTGATGCTTTGGGTGGTCGTTTCGAGACTACTTCCTGCCTGCGATTATCACGACCCTCTTCGCCATCTGCGGAACTACCAGCAATCCGCAAACGCTCTCTTTGATAGTATCGGAAAACGGAGAGACAAAAAGATGTAAAAGTTTAGTACAAATACAGTGCTAGTGTTATAGTCTGTTCTTAAGGCTTTACATGGCACCCAGGCTGTGCGCGAAGACAACGCAGTGACAGAAGGTGGGCAGGTGCTAACATGGATTGGGAGAATGCGTTCTCCGGTATCTAAAGTAGAAAACACCCAACTTTTAAAGTAAATACCGGGACGGTCACGCTAGGAACATTGAGGCAGAATACAATCTCTTAGAAAGTGTCAAGTACGGGAAAGGTTTGTGTTTTCTGCAGTGATTCAACATGCGCCTAGAACGAAACTATGGCAGGCACTGGGCTCAAAGGCCACCCGGCACCAGGTGAGTGCTATTGTACGAGTGAGTGCCACCAACAGAATCCACCGCGCTATTTCCGGCTTCAGAACCCCACAACCAGGAACAATTTTCAACAGCCAGGACAAAGCAAAAGAAGAGCAAAAACATACAACATCAGGGATTCGCTGGTGGTCACCCACCCAACTACTAGTCCGACCCTTACTGGCTTATCTATGGGAGAGCGGACGGGATCCCGAGTTCTCCAGTAGGTATGGTCGTATGTGATGGGAAATGCTGCTACGCAGCAACAAGTTCCCTCAGCGCTGATTGCAAGCCGAGACAAAGTATTAACTGTTCAGGCGTTGACTGAGCCCCTTGCTATTTACCATATGGTTTTCTGTATCATTCGGAATCGCGTTATGTTCGCTCAAAGCTTTACTGTCCCACCAGAACATTGTGAGTTCGTTCCCAGGCTTGTTCGTTCTTCCCAGCAGCCCACACCTTGTACATCATGTCGTACAGTGTAATATCTTCCAGAGCATCTTTGGGAGTTGTCTTGATAATTTTGCCCTTGACAAAGCAGTCGTGAATCTCCTGAAGCTCGGCGGTGTATGTGTCTTCGTAAGACGACAAGACTTGTCTGTGCTGGACCTCGCCATGCTCGTTGACCTCATCTACCTCGACAGTGATGGGCAGACCTTTAACGTAAGGGCTGTCATACTGCTGTCGTGTCAGCTTTCTCACGAAGCATCACCCTATTGTGGGCAGATTCTAACCTTGATTATTACACGTTTCGTTTCCCCATACAGCGCCAAATGCGCATCGAAAACGGGGACTTCGTCGATACCGCTCTCATACGTGACCGAATAAGGAGATCCGTCCTTGTTTCGAAACGACATGATAGAGCTATAAAATGGATGGTTGACGGAGACTCCGATCACCCTTTCAGGCATGCCGAGGGTTTCGCGCATGAGAGAGAAATCGTGCGACCCGAGACCACCTAGGAAGCGACAGTATTTTCGGTGGGCATCAGTGATGGCCTGCCCGGGAAATGCTTCTGCGTAGAGGGCCTCGAATCGCTCATCTCTCTCGGCGTTGCTGCCAGGAGGAAAGTCGTTCGGCTTGATTGCGAACGTACCGCTCTGGCTAGTGAAATTCGCATTCGGCCCAGAAAAATCGCGGACCCTGCCGTATAGAAGCTTCGGAATAGAGGCAACTTCTCGCTTAAAGGCTTGAAGAAACGAAGGCGCGTACCGGCGCATGTAGCCAATGAAGACGCGAGAGCCACCAGCTTGCTCCTCAGCATCAATAATGGACTGTGCTGAAGGGATCGACAGCGTCATGGGCTTCTCGATCATGACGAACTTGCCCGCTTTGATGGCTGCCACGGCGAGCGGTGCATGGCTGTCGTCAGATGTCAGGATCATAATGAGATCCACATTGGGATTTCTGAGCACTTCCTCTGGAGACGTAGCCTGGTGCGGTACGTTAAACTTCTCTGCGCAGTGCTTGGTGTTCGTGGGCGAGATGTCGAAAATGGACTGGAGGGTAAAGAGATGCGGCATCAAGAGCAGGCAGGGCCCATGGCAGATTTGGAACACCTCCTGTTCACAATCAGCGGCGTATGGAGTGATGTGGTGAGAAGAGGATATACTCCTGCGCCAAGGATTCCAACACCTAGCTTCTTAGTAAATGGCATGATGGAGACTGAGGACTGATAAATATCTCAGTCAACGGAAGTAGCTTGCAGTGCTGCGCTGATTGCAAGCAGTTCTGTATTGGTTTGATAGGGGTCGTCGCCTTAGCTAGTCAATTTGGATTATCGCGATGTTGGTGCTGATCCGATGTTGGTGCAGATCCTGACGTGCGTGATAAGTATTCCGAGGGATGAAAGGTAAGGGTCCATTCAGTGAAATGAGCAAGGGAAGGAAGTCGGCTACCTTACCCATGGCCGCTCAACACTGAGATGCACACGAATGAGGGGTAGCCTACCCACATGCGACTGACATCGTGATTCGACAGCCTGCAGACCACCCTCCCTTTATGAGGCACCGACCAGCGTCATGTCCAACAAGAAAAAGTCCACGTCGCAAAATGTTCACGATCGGCCCCTTATTGCTTCCATGTTGAGTTTTGACGTATTCCGTGTTCAATTCATTCTCTGATATAAAACGCTTGAGTGTCTCGACCGATTCTGTCATAGCAGCATTTACTGCACTTCCAAACAAGCTACAGCACACCTTAGAACCTGAGTTGTTCTTCGCCGTCGTTACTTTCGTCTTTAGCGTGCCTCAAATCTTCTCCTTGAGAAGTCCGATAAGCAATGATTCACATGTGACACAGATGTCGCCTTTTTCATCCTTAATCTCGGCGCTGAGAATCAATTTGCGCCCCTTCAGGCTGACTGGAGAAGCTGTGACAACGACAACCTGCGGGGTGAAAATTGGCTTCCGAAATTGTACGTTGATGTACGCAGTGGCGGCGTGTTGTCTACGAAGGTCCACGACGTCCGCAGGTAGCTCTCCTTCGATTCCATAGCGTTGCTGCGCCTCGTCATTGAGTATGATCACGTCGATCATTGTATCGTCCATCAGGGCTGCTGCAAAGCCACCTTGAACGGTACCGTTTAAACCATTGACTCCCGGACGCAGATCGTATGCAACGGAACATGATGGTACCAAGAATCTCTTCTTGGGCGACTTTTCGGTCACAACTGAGTTCGAAGCGCTTATTTTATGTCCTTCGACATGCGGTGGAGTGTGCTTCATGTAGAAGCCGACGCAGTGCGGTATCGCGTCCCTATTGTTGAGGGTCCGGCGCAGAAGTTGGTTTTTCGGAACCTTATCGTCGTCGTAATCTTCGTTGGAGCGGCTGACTGGGGTAAACGTCTCAAAGCCTGGCTCCTTAGTCAGAGCGTCGAACCATGGTAATGATTTGAAGTAGTCCATGCTGTTGAACAGTTGAGCGATATAGCAGCGGTTTGCGTATGGAGCATGAACAGAGCGAAGCAAGGAAGAGTAGGGTTCGGTCTGTTTTTGTATCCAATGCGCAGTTGGGTGGCGGCCATGCAAACAAACTGGTTTAGATTGATCACCTCTGCTCATATGACATCCATAATGTAAATCAGAGGTATGGTCTTTCACAGGACGCATTGTGGAGGCAGGCCCGCATGCGCTGAAGGTTAATTATGCTGGAAGGTCGCGTCAATGAATCCTCTTTGGCCATAAACACTCCGGCTCAGCCGAAAGTTTCGGCAGATTAATAGGCCGGCCATTAATCATCCGTCAGCTTGACAGCCCGGCAGCTCAAGAGCCGGTCTGCCTCCATCGGGGATGCGACGTTGGGTTGTGATTGATTGAGCGATGGTAGCAGTTTACCTCGGCAAAAGGAATCATGATGCTTCTGTTACTGATGGCTTAATGATTATGTCCCAAAGGCTGATCATGTCTTCATCGCTTACTCGCGAAAAGGTTTGTCAGCCGGATCGGCTCATTCAAGATTCTTGAAAGATTGCTTCACGTGTGAATTCAAAAAAAAGAAGAAGAAAAAGGCAAGAAACGTAGGACTTGAGGTCTTGGCTAGATTACTGACTTGGCAACATGCGTGCGCCTAGATCGAGCCCGACCCATCTCTGCTGCTTCTCTGGTCTCATAATCTCTGGCCAAATGCTAGTCACTTGGAGATCTCCAGAAAAAGGCTTGCTACTTGAGACGAGAATGCTCGACATGGCTTCGAGCTCGATGACCCGAGGGTAGTAGCAGACTGTCAA